ACACACACATACACATAGAGCTATACATAGAAAAATTCATATTTAAAGTATTTGTTCATCTTACCTGTTACAACTTGAATTTGAAATAAGCATTAAAATAAGGTGTATAACACTGAAACAGGTAGAAAACATAGAATATTCCATAAAAATAAAATGACAAATTAAAATCCTCATTACAGTAGTGTTGAACAATACATTTACTACTCAATCACTTTATTTTCCTGAACATTCACCACAAAGAAAAATAAGAAAGACACAGAGAAAGCACAGAAAGTACCAATGAAAGCATTGCAAGTTGTCTCCTGTGAAGGTAAGGGGAGTGGGGCATCTGGAAAGACGAGGACAATTGTGACTTCAGAATGTGTCCTCTCTTACAACAGTTTTGTTTTTGAAACTTGTGACATGTATATTTTTGAAGTAAAGTACAAAAGCATGAATTGTGTGCCACTGACCCCTAATCATACCCCATGGTGTGAATGTAAGTGACCCTCAGGAGGACCCAAATCCGTGGAGGGCAGCAGCACCTCCAACGATGCCCAGGCAGGAGGAGGGTTTGCCCTGCTCTGAGGCAGGAGAGAATCTGGGCTCTTGGGAACAGAGAGAGAAGGTGCTGCCTGACTTGGAACCACTCCCTGGCCTGTGCATGTGAACCCTGTGGAGGACGTCTCAGGAAGAGAAATAGAGCCAGGGGAGGACTCTGCAGTCTCAGGAATGTGGCCTTGGGAGTCAGGCTGGGTGCTGTCAGAAGGGGAAATGTGAGGTTAGAGGGCAGCTGAGTGGGAAAACGGCTGCTGCAGGATCGCTCATGAGTCCTGATGGAGGATGAAGAGTTCTTTCAAACTGTCAGGGTCATGGTTCACACAATCCTCATACCATGGCTCTGCACGCTGTTTAATGCAGTGTGGCTCACCTCACTGTTCGTTGATGTGTGCTCCACAGTTCAAGCACAAAATAACATCTAACATGGACAGGTGTTACAGAGAAAAATGGGCTCCACATGTCTTTCTTACTTTCTTTTCGTACCTGGGATGGAACTAGGGACCTCATGCTTGTCAAGCAGGTGCCTGTGCTGACGAGCCAAACCCCAGGCCCTCCACATTCTTTCCAAGAAAAATATGATTCACATATATTATCCAAAATATTAGGATAATTATATATTTTAACAATGTTACATCACAGGATAATTAACAAAAACCTTTTCTGAAATATTTTCTTAATTTGGAAAGTTAATTGTACATTTACAAAGCATGTTCTACATACATTAACACCTCAGTTCCATAATATGTTTATTAGTCTATTAAGCATGTTTAGAAAGCAAAGTCTGCATAAATGTCTTCTCTATAAAATATTTCTTTTTCCTTTATATTTTATGAATGTCTCCAAATTTTGCAGTCAAATTTAAGTAAGCATATTTTAACTGTCATTGGACACTTTTTCTGGAATTTTGGTACCTTGGTTGATGATTGCATTTTTTTCTCTGCTTCTGTTCTATTTCATGAAGACCTCCATTACTAAATTCTGAAACCTGTGATAATCAGCCACAGTGTCTCTATACAAAACATGTGAGGAAAAGTTTTATCAACTTTGTTTTTTTCCACTGAAACAACACTTGTAACAAACTATTGACATGTGCTAAATTTCAAAAAGACAAACCTTAGCAAAAACATAAGTGAAGCAACAGGAGTCTTTTTTTGTACAACTTTAACTTGCATTTGTAGTAGGAAGCGTGCTCCTTCTTGTATAAACTGGTGATGCAACACCAGTGGCTGTAGGTTTGCCCTCATAAGACTAGAACAACAGGAGTTGTAAAGGGAAGCCCAGAAAAATACCTGATCTAATGACTGCAGTCTAAGGTATCATTAGATATGATTCAAGTACTTGAATTTTCAAAACAGTTGCTACTGTCCTTTGGTTGGGTTTTCCATAAAAAATAAGCATGAGTAGAGCTTCTTTCATTTGTTTTGGGATAGTTTGTATGTTAATTTTGCTCTCATGATAGAAAATGAAGTGTTAGAAAATATATCATATGCCCTAAGTTTCACATTAGAAGTGAAAGTTTTGCTATGGAAAAAAGATTTGTCACCTCCATTTCTGAAAGGAGATTAACAGAGTACATGCATAGCTCAAAAACAAATGCCAAGTAAAGAAATAAACGAACTGATAAGTGAATAATTTCCATAAGAAGGACAAGTGTCCAGTGTCCAATATTTTCAGCTATTAGAAAACATCAAATTAAAAACCAAACTATGGCTCTTCTGTCTCTATTGGTTTTATCATATTGTATCTTGCTGGAATATATTATATGTGATAGTATAAACAAAAATTGTTATAGGCAAAATAATAATATAGAAACCATTGTTCATTTTCTGTTAGCTGGTTATAAATACCCTACAATGCTTTCATACACTTGAATGGTTTTACACTGTCTTGATATGTTTGATGCTATAGTATATGAAGTTATATTCAAATATTTCAAGGAAAAAGACACTATATACTACTATTAAGTAGGGGTTATTTGGTGGTGAAGCACTAGGTTGCTGAAACTGTCATGCTTTGACCTACATTGTTATGTTGTTATATTCTCTTTTATCTCAATCTCTCCTTTATTTATTAAAAAATATTTAGTTATTTTTTATGATTTTTTAATTAAGGGGAAAAATTAAAAAATAGCAGGATATATTATAGTAACTTTTTTGATTTCCTATTAACTTGATTTGAAGTCCCATAATACTCCCACTATCTTGTTTTGACTGATGAGACTCTGTTCCGTTCTGTATGATAGTATCAAGTTTGAGGGTATAGGCAACTACTTTGAAGGCAATACGATTCACTATGATGCCCATTCTGGTTTGACTATTATCTTCTTTTGAATTCCTGTAATGTTTACAATATTTAGGTTTTATTGGTCTTGTTCTCTACTGTTTTGTTCAACTTTATAATACCTAATGAGATAGACAACTCTTTTTAAGGAAACAAGAGGCATTATGGTAACCATTGTTGATAACCTTGTACTCTGTTTTTACATGTGCTCTGTCTATCCTTGGTTTTGACTAACAGCTTAGTTTTGTCATAATTGACTTTATTCTCTTCCAAAAAAAGGTAATAAGAACTAAAAATTTTGTTGTAAAAAAAAAAGAGAGGAAAAAAAATGCTCTAAAGGATACAACTGCAAGTGTGTTTTGGGGTGCTAAATAGATGACCATATTAATGTTTTTGGTTGGATCATTGAACACAACTGTTTGCAGTCTCACTGTTTGAATGTCTACTTTGTATGCTTTGATCCTGTGACTTGAGCAACTATCTCTAAAATGATAATATGTAATTTATTAGTTGGTGATTTCTTACTGTTTTTTTGCAGTTGTATATTACTTGTACCCTTAAACTGTTTTGTTTTGTTCTGTTTTTTCTCTTTTTCCTTTTAAATAAAAAAAAAAAAAAAACCACACAAGGATTCCATGTCCCTCCAGTGGAATCAACATTCATCAAGAAAACGAGAAGTTATAACTCTTTGTAAGGATATACGGAAAAAGATAAACTTCTATGCTGCTGGTTCTAATGTAAATTAACATATTCAAAAGGAAAATCAGTACAGAGATTACTTGAAAAATTTAAAAGCAGGACACCCATCACATCTCTGCCATTGGGGAACCAATGAGAGCTGAAGGGAAGGGAGAAATCCCACCCATTCCCTTTCTGGAACCTGGGTAACCTCAGTCCAGAGGAACTCAGGTGCCGGGCCCATTCATCTATGCTAGTGTAAGACATTCCTTTACCAATATAATAAAATCCAACTATTATTCTATCAATCTAATATGGACTACTGAATTTTAGAATTACTAAGAAATACTTCCCCAGACGAAAGTTAGACATTCAGAAAAATTTCATTATTTCTTTCAAGTCTTTCAGAAAACCACATGTTATCATTTAAGAAAACATATTACATATTGGCATTGTGACAAATCTTGAATTCATTAATCTCTTGTCATGAAATGTACATGTTTTACTTTTTTTCACTAAAATAGTGGCTTTCAGGATTTCAGTTCCTGCCTTCTTCAGCCAGTGACCTTCTTCCCTTTCAGTTGCTAGCCGTCTCTAGGGGCTGCAAACCCTGTCAGCCATGCTGATGCTGCCCGGCTTTGTTGCCCAAACTCACTCTGGGGGATGCGCACAAATTCATCCGGACAGGAGGGTGTGATCTTTTCAACACTCTTGCCATCTATTGTTTCTATAATGCAATGAAGTAATGGAAAATTACTAAGCTTCTGCATTCATATAAGAGAATTATATACAGTAATGGAAAACTCTAGTCATTTCTCCTTATATTCTGTTTCTCAAATAGACCAAGGTAATATTTACATCCTTGTCTGTTCAGATCCTTTACCAGAATCTAATTTATTATTTTACAGTGTTGGATACATCATTCTTATACTCTCCATTTCTATGCTTTTATTTTCTTCATTCTTTAATCAACACATTTTGAAATGAAGTTACTTTACTTTTAGTGTCATTTAAATGTAAAAGTTTGGATTATACAATATTTTCCTAATAAAATTAACTAGTGAAATTTATGATATCTTCAGAGAAGCATCTGGCTTATCATAGTGTTTGATACTTATGGAATGAATTTATTAAAGAAGAAAGATTCATTAAATGAGAGCCAGTATTCATAGAGAACCCATGTTCTATTTAACAAATATTTATGAGTCATGATTTCTGTATTAATGAAAATATTTAACCAAAACACATGGAACTGGACCAGCTATTTCCCATTGTGAATGGCTTGTGGACAAGGACTATGGGTTATTAACCTTAGACTCTTGTGGCATTATATTAAGATATTCCCAGAGAGTAGATATAGACTAGCACTTGAGTAAAATTCAGAACCAAATCGCACAATGTTAGCATATTAAATCTCATAAATCTTATTAAGTAGTTTCCACTACTAATCTTTTAAAAGAAGTTTTAATACTTACTGTGGTTGGTTTTTTGCTGTGAATTTCTCAAAACTTTTTGATGTCTTTATTCAAGAAAAGTGTCCCTTTTGTTATAAATTTCCTGAAAGCTTTCTTCACCTCCTTGTTCCTCAGGGTATAAATTAGAGGGTTTAAAAGAGGGGTGACCACGCAGTAGAACACGGAGACCACTTTACCAATGGTGAAGTTGTACTTGGCTGGAGGGTGGACATACGCAAAGATAATGGTGCCGTAGTAGATGGTTACTACAGTCAGATGGGAGGCACAGGTGGAAAAAGTTTTCTTCTGAGCTTCTCGGGAAGACAGCCTGACTACTGTAGCCACAATATTGCCATAAGAGGACACAGTGAGAAGGAAAGAGCTTAGAATCACGACTGAGGTGCATGTGTAGCCCAAGGACTCCACAAAAAATGTGTCTGAGCAGGAGACTTTACAAATGGGGTCTGAGTCACAGAAGAAATGGTTGATCTTCTGGGGGCCACAAAAGTTTAATTGAGAGATGAGTATGGTAACCGGAAAAGGGGCAAAGAAGCCTCCAACCCAGGACCCAGCTGAAAACTTGAGACAGATCTGAGCATTCATGAGAAGCGAGTAGCGCAGAGGGCTGCAGATGGCCACGTACCGATCATAGGCCATCACGGCCAGCAGGATGCACTCTGTGGCTCCCATGGAGAAGAAGAAGTAGAACTGGGCAATGCATCCAGGAACAGAGATGGTGACGACTATGGACATGCAGGTGTCCAGCAACTTAGGCACGGTGGCCGTGGTGTACCAGATCTCTAAGAAGGACAGGTTCCCTAGGAAGACGTACATGGGTGTCTGCAGTGTGGAATCCATGAGAACAAGGAAGATGATGAGGGCGTTTCCAATGAGGGAAAGCAGGTACACAGTGAGGAAGGTGAAAAAGAGTGTGAGCCTGAGGGAGGGAGAGCCCGGGAATCCCAGGAGAATGAACTCTGTCACCACGGTTTGGTTTTCTCGATCCATACCACATCTGCCTTGATCTGGAATCACCAACATCAGCAGATGATGGTAGATTACTAAGGAGTTAAGGATGGAATATTGTCTTTCACTTATTTGTTGTTTTATTGATCCCTAATAAAAGCGATTTATCCCTATCAAAAACATGACTGACATATCAGAAGGCATGTTCCATTTGATTTTCAAGATAATTCTTCAGTGTAAATATCGTAGTAATCTACAATTTTATTAATAAAAAATCATTGAGGTATAGATTTTATACACTTTCAAGTCTTTAAGTTATTGTGTGAAAGATCATTATTGCTGTCTCTGAGGAGGTCACAGGTTAGAGTTCATAGGAGGAAGGGGACATTGGAGATGCTGTCGACCAGATGAGTCCACCAGTCATGTTTCATTGATGTGCCCAGCACCATGGCGTGAGCCAGTGCTGCCCACTATGGTAGCTTCATGGACAATGCTAGTGGAAGACTGAATGGATTTTGTGTGAGTAAACCTACATCTAGAGCACAAAGCAGAAGTTGGAAAGTAACCTATCTTACTTTTACAGAAATTAAATTTCACAGTCTTTGGCTAGTTTAAAAATCATTTCATCCTGATTTCCCACTTTGATTAGGAACAGTTGGACAAGTACACATCAAAAGAAGTAAGAAATCTCTGTTGAGAGGAAAAGCAACCCCAGTCAGTGCAATCACATCTTTTTAGTATCAACATATCTCAAGAAGCATTAAATATGTTCAATTATTTTAGCCATCATGAAACTGTTCTTCATATGTAAAACACATTTTAATATTATATAGGTAAATTCTGTAAGATAGAGACTTATGTCCTGTATCAAAAAGCAAACCGTATCTGAAAGAAATGCAAAGGTGCTTGACTTCCTCTCTGTATGTTCCCTGCTTTGAATCTCTGTGAGAGCTTGAATCATGAAACTTTATCATGAATCAGGGTCCAGGTGTGTGCCTCACTGCAAATGCTCCGTGAGGGGTGCAGTGGACACAGCTAAGAAGGGACGACCTCTGTGTCATAGAATCCCTATGTCCCATGTTCCAACCACTGAGCAGTTCCCGTATGGCTGGGGTACTTAATTTTATCCATCATGAAGTTCTGAGTAGTAATTCCTGAATGGCATTAAATGTTTTGCTGTGTCTCTATGAGTAATAAAAACTAATTTGTACATTTAAAAATTTGTTCCACAATCCAAAAGATCCTGAAAGATATCTGAAAGATATATAACTACTTTTGTAATTTAAGAAAATAATTCATTTGCTGGAAATATTTTCAAATTTTTCCTAGTTCTTAAGAAAATAATTGTACTGTTTATTCATAAAAAAGTGAAGTCCATTATTATTATAAAAAGGGTATACCTTGGCCTGTTTTACAATCATTATAAAAGAAAGACATAGGGATAGCAGAATCACGTTGGTGTCGGAACTTTGTATAAAATACCAGAATGATGTAATGATGACTTAGCAATTAGATTTCATGTTATTCTGCCATATAGAGCTTGAAAAAAGAATGAATTCAAGAAAGTAAATTCTTAATTAATAAAAATATTAACAATAAAATTAAACCATATAGACTTTTATTGGTCTTACATTTTGCAGTTATAACTTCTTAGATGTCTGAAAACCACGTGATGCTCCCAGGATTCTGCATCTGACTGCTGGTGCTCAAATGGTAACAGTGCTTCTTTGTAGTCAGGGGCCCTCCCCTCCATCCTGTAGAGGAAGACAGGAGGTTGTCTCTGAGTGTACTCACATGATTTGCTCTATTTTGTCAATTTTCAAGAAGGTATTCTTTTTAGTTGAATGTTCATTAAATTTTTCAATTCAGGAAAACCATGTGTGACAACATACTGAGCTTAGTTATTAATACAGAAGAGAAGACAAGTCATTGCTGTGCCACCACCTAATTCAGGGTCCTCGCTATGAATAAGTACACATTCCTCACCTTTTTGAGGTGTCTCTAGCTCTCAGTGGCCTGACCTCGGGGGAAATGCAAGGGCAGCGGTCTCTCAGGTGAGAAGTGTTATGATTTCATCTGCCTAGAGCCTGGAACAGCTTCTGTCACCTGGGGACTATTAGCGTTTCCCCAAGTACTGTCCATAAGGGTCAGTGTTCTCTCCACTCCACACAAAGAGAAGACCTGAGGGCTCTCAGGGAGTGTTACTCCGCCATGAGGAAATTTAACTTAATTCATTTGCAGAAAGATGGATGCACCTTGAGCCCATACTATTAAAGGGAAGGAAAGCAGATATCCAATCATAAGAATCACATGACTTCTCTTATATGAGAAATCCAAAATATAAGTAAAGAGCAAAATGGAAGCCAGGTAAATGAAACAGGGAGAACTTTTCAGAGACAAAGGGGATTTAGAGACAGGAATAGTAGAAGAGAAGGAGATGTAAAAAACTGAGACATCTTATACATAAGCAATAACTCCACACAATGAATGTAAACATCATATAATACCAATGTTTATTAATCAAAGTTAAAATAAATAAAAAATATTTTAATGAGTTCATAAATAAAACATTGATGTCCTGCATAATGTAGAGTAAGGCTCAGACATTTCACCTGGAGCCAAATTTTGGAACACTCAGATGATGTAAATTTCAGATGATATGCACACATGTATAGTTGCAATGAAATTAAGAAAATAAGTGAAATGCTTTTCAAGCTATTCAGTGTTTAATCTCTTCAGCATTTTTATAAATTAACAAATTTCCATTGCATTTTTATAAATTAACAAATTTCCATTGTATATATGTTAACTCTAAAGTTAGGATTTAATGCACACAATCAAATGAAGCTGACTGACAGTTCAAATATTCAATGTTCGTGTGAGAAGAACACTTAAAATTTCATTTCTTAGCAACATGGTACAGAACTTTTCAGTGTTGATTCATTAGCTGTCCCCACCATGCTGTGCATCACGAAGAAGTCACAGGCTTCTCCCACCTCGCGGGAATCTCTGTTAGCTGCCTGCCTCCCCTTCTCTCATTTGCAATCTTCAGTAGTTACCAATCTACATTATGAACCTTGAATTTTCTTGTTCTAGGTTGCATCTATGTGTGACAATATCACATAATTTCTGTTACTGAAAAATAGTACAATTCGTGTTTGAAGAGGTCTTTATTTTTCATTTATGTTTACTTTTAAATGATAATTTTTCTAGACACAGACTTTCAAGTTGGTACATTTTCCCCTCCATTCTTTAAGTCATTCACTGCATTCTCCCTGCATAGGGGAAGACCAGTATCGCTAATCCTCTGAGGTGATTTTTTTCTCCCATATGGAGTCTTTCTTAATTTTTAAAAATAATTTATGCTCCTGCAGTTTGCACATGACTCATGCAGACATAGATTTTTGGCAGTTATTATGTATGGAGTTTATTTTCTTTCTTAGATTTGCCATTTGGCATATAATACTAATACTAGGACATTCTTTATAATTACTGATTTTAGTTTTGCTATTCTGTTTTCACTTTCTTCTTTAGGCATTCCCAGCACACATAATCCATATCTATGTAGCTATTTCATTTGTCTGGAAGATTTGGGGTTTTTTTTATTTATTGTTCTTTTCCCTATTGTTTCTTCATTCATACTCAGTGTGTCAGTGAAACCATCAAAAATATTCTTCACCTTATACACTGTGTTTGATTTCCAGAAATTCTTTTTTATTCTTTGTAGTATTGAACCCTGTGAGAATTTTACTCATCTTGCACAATAAAAATAATGAAACACTGAAGAAATGAAACCAGAAAATATTAGAAGATTCTAGAATCTCACATGTTCATAGGCAGAATTAATATTGTTATTGTGGCCATGTTACCAAAAGCAGTCTACACATATAATGCAATCTCTAGCAAGATCTCCATGATATTATACATAAAACTGATAAAATAAAACTAAAGTTCATATGAAAACATAAGCATCCAAATGTCCAAAGATACTTTTCACAAAGAAACAATGCTGGAGTAACTGATTTCAACCTATGTCATCCATGCAGTGTACCAAAAACAGCAAGACATTACAACAAAAATTAGATCAAATAAATTTTGTCCATTTATTCTTTTGAAGGACGTACTCTTCAATTCATGGATTCATTGAGTTGAAGTTTTATTATCAGTTTCACTATGTGTGTGTGTGTGTGTGTGTGTGTGTGTGTGTGTGTGTGTGTGTCTTTTTCCTTTTTATCGGTACCAGGGATTGAACTCACAACTGCCTGCATGCAAGGCAGGCGCTTAAAGCCGCTGAGCTAAATCCAAAGCCTCAGCTCCTGAATCTTTTTAACTTTCTTATACCGATGAAATAAATAAGTCTTCTACATCCACAATTTTCTGCTACTTTCTTTAGCTTCTCTCTGCACCCTTTAGATCGCTGCCTTTCTGTGCTGATTTTCATCAGGATGCAAGCTCATTTCATGGTTCTATGGCTTTCTGGGCTATTCAAGTGTCACTTAGGCAGTCTTGTCAGTATCTAGGACATCAAATATTTGCCTTATGCTTTCTTCCCAAATTTCAAGGATTTGGGAATTATGTTCTGAATTGATTTTTGTACAGGGTGAGATCGAATTCTTCTTCCAAACTTCTCCGTATGGGTATCAGTGTTTCCTTGTACCAGTAACAGCCTGTGCTTTTTCCATTTTATGCTTTTTGTCTTCTTTCTCAAGAACCAAAAGAAGAAAACACACAAGTCAACATAATCAGAAATGAAAAGGATGAAATTCTTTTGAAATCCAGAGTATTATAAATAACTCTCTCAAAAAATTTTATCTTTGTAAACATCAGAATAAAAATGGATTCTTAGATACATATAAATTACTAAAACTGAATCAGGAAGATATATAAACCTGGATCTGAAATTTAAATTGTATTTTAAAAGCTACCTACCAATAAAAATCCAGGACCCAGTGAATTCATTATTGAATTACATAAAAACTTCTGGCAGAAATTGATGTCAACACCATCAAACTAGCATACAAAATTAAAAGTGAAGTAACATT